CTTCGATATGATGGTTATTAATACACTGCTCAAAAAAATAAAGGGAACACTTAAACAACACAATGTAACTACAAGTCAATCACACATCTGTGAAATCAAACTGTCCACTTAGGAAGCAACACTGATTGACAATAAATTTCACATGCTGTTGTGCAAATGGAATAGACAACATGTGGAAATTATAGGCATTTAGCAAGACACCCCCAATAAAGGACTGGTTTTGCAGGTGGTAACCACAGACCACTTCTCAGTTCCTATGCTTCCTGGCTGATGTTTTGGTCACTTTTGAATGCTGGCGGTGCTTTCACTCTAGTGGTAGCATGAGACGGAGTCTACAACCCACACAAGTGGCTCAGGTAGTGCAGCTCATCCAGGATGGCACATCAATGCGAGCTGTGGCAAGAAGGTTTGCTTTGTCTGTCAGCGTAGTGTCCAGAGCATGGAGGCGCTACCAGGAGACAGGCCAGTACATCAGGAGACGTGGAGGAGGCCGTAGGAGGGCAACAACCCAGCAGCAGGACCTTTGTGCAAGGAGGAGCAGTAGGAGCACTGCCAGAGCCCTGCAAAATGACAAACGGTCAGAAACAGACTCCATGAGGGTGGTATGAGGGCCCAACGTCCACAGGTGGGGGTTGTGCTTACAGCCCAACACCGTGCAGGACGTTTGGCATTTGCCAGAGAACACCAATATTGGCAAATTCGCCACTGGCGCCCTGTGCTCTTCACAGATGAAAGCAGGTTCACACTGAGCACGTGACAGACGTGACAGAGTCTGGAGACGCCGTGGAGAACGTTCTGCTGCCTGCAACATCCTCCAGCATGACCGGTTTGATGGTGGGTCAGTCATGTTGTGGGGTGGCATTTCTTTGGGGGGCCGCACAGCCCTCCATGTGCTCGCCAGAGGTAGCCTGACTGCCATTAGGTACCGAGATGAGATCCTCAGACCCCTTGTGAGACCATATGCTGGTGCGGTTGGCCCTGGGTTCCTCCTAATGCAAGACAATGCAAGACCTCATGTGGCTTGAGTGTGTCAGCAGTTCCTGCAAGAGGAAGGCATTGATGCTATGGACTGGCCCGCCCGTTCCCCAGTCCTGAATCCAATTGAGCACATCTGGGACATCATGTCTCGCTCCATCCACCAACGCCACGTTGCACCACAGACTGTCCAGGAGTTGGCGGATGCTTTAGTCCAGGTCTGGGAGGAGATCCCTCAGGAGACCATCCGCCACCTCATCAGGAGCATGCCCAGGCGTTGTAGGGAGGTCATACAGGCACGTGGAGGCCACACACACTACTGAGCCTCATTTTGCCTTGTTTTAAGGACATTACATCAAAGTTGGATCAGCCTGTAGTGTGGTTTTCCACTTTAATTTTGAGGGTGACTCCAAATCCAGAAGTCCTTGGGTTGATAAATTTGATTTCCATTGATAATTTTTGTGTGATTTTGTTGTCAGCACATTCAACTATGTAAAGAAAAAAGTATTTAATAAGATTATTTCATTCATTCAGATCTAGGATGTGTTATTTTAGTGTTCCCTTTATTTTTTTGAGCAGTGTATTTAGCGTTTCCACCGCCATTTCTCGCATAATACATTTTACCGACACAAAAAGATCCCACCATGTCGAATGAACAAAAGATCTGTCAGCATTTATAAAATAGTTTTTCCGAAACGTCCTGTTTCGATCACAGCTGTTGTGATTTGTTTTTATACAGTACTCGCGTAAACTGTGGAAACTAGGTTATTGTTAAGCCATTTGACAGCGAGTGACAGGTAGTTGACATAATTACACAAACAGACAGGCACCCATGCTATATTTCCCTCCCTTCATCTACAGAACTTGGAGACCAAGCTGTCGTTGATCGTTACTAAGAGGGACACGTACCATCCGTTCAGGCTTCAGCTGGAACCGTCTGCTGGAGAACATACAGACCTTCCTGGATCGCTTCCTGGAGGAACTCCCCTCGGACTTGCTGCTCCGGGTAGGGTATTGAACCTGTGACTGACTGTCAAAAAGTACACACTATTTACTAGTTCACTACTTTTTGACCAGAGTTTAGCCCTATAAGAAACCAACATGGTTCATTAACTTTTCAGTGGAATTCCAGGAAGGGCTTACTGTATCATTAGCTATAATTAGACACGTTCATATTTAAATACGATATCACAGTAATGAAGTCATATAGTAGACCAATGTTCATCCCCAACGCCACCCTGTTTTCTGATATAGTGCCCCACTTTTGAACAGGGCTCTGGTTAAACGTAATGCATTATGTAGGGAATACGGTGCCATTTGGGACACAGATCACTGGTCCTCTGGGGATGGCTCTCATTTAAGAAACGTTTCCATGCTAGTTGTTAAGAGTAAAAAATGCACTTTGTCGTCATTTTAAAATGACGCTAACGAGGAAATCCTTGGCACTTCTTCTCTGTAGCACCTGGTGGCATACCTCACATGGAAACCATTCCCTATGGAGCCTAGTACACTACGTCGATGATCAAAAGTAGTGCACTACATACTACTAGCATCCTGTCCAGGGGGTGTACTGGTACATCAAGCTGCCTCACTACAGAAACAGGAGATAGACTAGTGTCCTGTCCAGGGGGTGTACTGGTACATCAAGCTGTCTCACTACAGAAACAGGAGATAGACTAGTGTCCTGTCCAGGGGGTGTACTGGTACATCAAGCTGTCTCACTACAGAAACAGGAGATAGACTAGCATCCTGTTCAGGGAGTGTACTGGTACATCAAGCTGTCTCACTACAGAAACAGGAGATAGACTAGTGTCCTGTCCAGGGGGTGTCAATACATCAAGCTGTCTCACTACAGAAACAGGAGATATACTAGTGTCCTGTCCAGGGTCTGTCACTACATCAAGCTGCCTCACTACAGAAACAGGAGATAGACTAGTGTCCTGTCCAGGGGGTGTACTGGTACATCAAGCTGTCTCACTACAGAAACAGGAGATAGACTAGTGTCCTGTCCAGGGGGTGTACTGGTACATCAAGCTGTCTCACTACAGAAACAGGAGATAGACTAGTGTCCTGTCCAGGGGGTGTACTGGTACATCAAGCTGTCTCACTACAGAAACAGGAGATAGACTAGTGTCCTGTCCAGGGTCTGTCAGTACATCAAGCTGCCTCACTACAGAAACAGGAGATAGACTAGTGTCCTGTCCAGGGGGTGTACTGGTACATTAAGACTGTGGTAATTAAGCCTGTACATGTGGTAATTAAGCCTGTACATGTGGTCATTAAGCCTGTACATGTGGTCATTAAGCCTGTACATGTGGTCATTAAGCCTGTATATGTGGTCATTAAGACTGTACATGTGGTCAGTAAGACTGTGGTCATTAAGCCTGTACATGTGGTCATTAAGCCTGTACATGTGGTCATTAAGCCTGTACATATGGTCATTAAGACTGTGGTCATTAAGCCTGTACATGTGGTCATTAAGCCTGTACATGTGGTCATTAAGCCTGTGGTCATTAAGCCTGTACATGTGGTCATTAAGCCTGTACATGTGGTAATTAAGCCTGTACATGTGGTCATTAAGCCTGTGGTCATTAAGCCTGTACATGTGGTCATTAAGCCTGTGGTCATTAAGCCTGTACATGTGGTCATTAAGACTGTGGTCATTAAGCCTGTACATGTGGTAATTAAGCCTGTACATGTGGTCATTAAGACTGTGGTCATTAAGCCTGTACATTCAGTCATTAAGCCTGTACATGTGGTCATTAGGCCTGTACATGTGGTCATTAAGCCTGTACATGTGGTCATTAAGCCTGTACATGTGGTCATTAAGACTGTGGTCATTAAGCCTGTACATGTGGTCCTTAAGCCTGTACATGTGGTCATTAAGCCTGTACATGTGGTCAGTAAGACTGTACATGTGGTCATTAAGACTGTACATGTGGTCATTAAGACTGTACATGTGGTCATTAAGATGTGGTCATTAAGCCTGTACATGTGGTCATTAAGACTGTACATGTGGTCATTAAGACTGTGGTCATTAAGCCTGTACATGTGGTCATTAAGCTAGCTGCTAACACAGACGGATATGAACAATTATTACACAAGTGGAAGTCCAAATGGTATCCCTATTTCTCACAGGGCTCTGGTCAAAAGACGTGCACTATACAGCCAATAGGGTGCCGTTTGGGTCTGATGATAATATTGCGTTTCTCCTCAGACCCAAAAAGACGCTGCTATCAACAAGGAATATTCAGTCCTGGAAACCAGAGTCTGACAAGAAGCCTGAGCTCATTATTTAGGAGAAAAAGGGGTATGGTATACCACTCTCTCTGTCGCTCTCTCGCTGCCAGTACGTACAAGATCTATTTAAGATCTTGGGTGATTTTAATGATCTTTGTTCTAATGTCACAGATCTCCATTGCTCTTGAGAAAGAACATAGTTATAATGCCAAGTGGAAGAACTAGCTAGCTACATGTTTGTCCATGTAAAGTTGACTCTGTCTCTCATGCTGTTTGTCCGTGTAAAGTTGACTCTGTCTCTCATGCTGTTTGTCCATGTAAAGTTGACTGTCTCTCATGCTGTTTGTCCATGTAAAGTTGACTGTCTCTCATGCTGTTTGTCCATGTAAAGTTGACTGTCTCTCATGCTGTTTGTCCATGTAAAGTTGACTGTCTCTCATGCTGTTTGTCCATGTAAAGTTGACTGTCTCTCATGCTGTTTGTCCATGTAAAGTTGACTGTCTCTCATGCTGTTTGTCCATGTAAAGTTGACTGTCTCTCATGCTGTTTGTCCATGTAAAGTTGACTGTCTCTCATGCTGTTTGTCCATGTAAAGTTTACTCTGTCTCTCATGCTGTTTGTCCATGTAAAGTTGACTCTGTCTCTCATGCTGTTTGTCCATGTAAAGTTGACTGTCTCTCATGCTGTTTGTCCATGTAAAGTTGACTGTCTCTCATGCTGTTTGTCCATGTAAAGTTGACTCTGTCTCTCATGCTGTTTGTCCATGCAGTGTCGATGAGGTTGACCTACCGAGGAGCCTCATCTGAGACGACCCTGAACACCAAGACTCTTAGCAACACAACTCTGAACACCACTGGCAGCACCAGAACCAGGAAGACTCACGGGATAGGTCAACTAGCATACTGACAGCACTACAACCAGGAAGACTCACAGGATAGGTCAACTAGCATACTGACAGCACTAGAACCAGGAATACTCACAGGATAGGTCAACTAGCATACTGACAGCACTAGAACCAGGAAGACTCACAGGATAGGTAAACTAGCATACTGACAGCACTAGAACCAGGAAGACTCACAGGATAGGTCAACTAGCACACTGACAGCACTACAACCAGGAAGACTCACGGGATAGGTCAACTAGCACACTGACAGCACTACAACCAGGAAGACTCACGGGATAGGTCAACTAGCATACTGACAGTTTCACTGATGAGAGTACATCTTAGTAATTATCCAAATAAATGAAATGTTTACAAACAATGGATTAAAACAAGTTTATATTTATGGTTCTGATGGCGTAAGACAGTTAAATTAAGCTCATGAGGCATTTATAAGTTATATTCTTCAAGTATCAATGGCTATAGTTAATTTAAAAGTCCAAAATGGATGTACCAATCGCAGATTGCCCCTTTAATGTGTAGAACCCTACTGCTTTCTGTGTAGAAGTGGCCGTGGGGTCTGGACGTTGCGCTGAAGGTGGGAGTGAAGCGCCACGGGGAGGGGAAGTGGTCACGCATCCTCCCGGAACACGACTTCCAGGATCGCGCAGAGGTTCAACTCAAAGACCGCTGGAGGGTCCTCAAGAAGTCTTAAAGTCAACACATACTAAGTAAAACTAAGGGTGTGTCCCAAATGACTCCCTATATTCCCTAAGAAGTGCACTACATTTGACCAGAGCCCTATGGGGCCTCTGTATAGGAAATAGGGTGACATTTGGGTCTGAGCCTTAGTCTTGTGGTCTGTTCTGAACTCAGGGGGTCTATCTACTCTATTGTTGGATGTATTGTTCAAATCCCCTGGTTATAGAAGGAATTATAGTTTTTGCTTCTGGGTCCTTGTATTTCCAGAGCTGCCACTTTGAGTGTGAGAGATGGTGTAGCTGTAACTGACATTCAATCCGATTAAGGTGATTTCCAGTTGAGCTGACATACGCAGGGTTTTACCATGAATGCGATCTCCACAAACACGAGAACCTTGTCATTGAAAAGCTGCACTGTCTACAACCTGCGATCGGATTGAATCCCGGCCTTTAACACACCGCTTCAATGCAAATGCGTATTGTGGAGGAAATTGCTGTTGTGATCATGTTATTACTACCAGTAACCAGCAGAGGTAGCTATTTATCCTGCTGTGGACAAGCACAGTTTAAAAACTTGTAGATTCACATTTTTACAAAACGATTTATACCTCTTAACTTATCAATAGCTTCTAACTATCAATAACTAAAACACACAAAGCTTAACACCATCAAACTAAATGTTTGATAAAAATGAAGAAAAAAAAAACATTGTTAAATGTCTTTCATGGTTTTATTTAATATCTCACACAGCCTTTTAAGAGTGACAATACAAAGCAGCATTATGTAAATAGTAAATTAGTTCAATCTATCATTTGTGGAATGTCATGTGGTTGTCTGTGCATATTGAAAAGTCACTCAAATGTTCTTACAACATAGATGTTATATACTGATTTCATTAAACAAAGATGTATAACTTTGATTTTGTGTTGTTTTGGCGTGCATACGACTTGCTGAGTCTGAAATGTCACCCTGTTCCCTACATACAGTGCACTACCAGAGCCCTGTAGAGTCCCAGTCATAATACCCATAAAACCTAGCGGCAAACGGGGAAATGGTATCAATCGGTTTTTTTCACCATTCATTTTTTTCCCATTGGGGATTTTTAGAAACACTTAAAATAAGGGCTGTGTTTCATGTAGGCTAACCCCGTCGTTACGTTTTTGATAACCATGTAAATCTCTCTAGGACAAGGATACTTTTTTTTGACTCTGGTCAAAAGCAGTGCACTATATATATATATAGGGAATAGGGTGCCAGTCGGGACTGAGGCTGAGTGTTTATATGAAGAGGAAGCTGTGGACGTGGGGACAGGAGCAGTACGCAGTTCTCTGGACCTTCTTCCATGTTCCTCGACAGCGAGAGTTCCCCACAGCCTGCCAATGGAGCAGCTCCTCACTGCAACACACACAGGACATAGGTTAGTGTGGCTCACAGCCTGCCAATGGAGCAGCTCCTCACTGCAACACACACAGGACATAGGTTAGTGTGGCTCACAGCCTGCCAATGGAGCAGCTCCTCACAGGACATAGGTTAGTGTGGTTCACAGTACACACTTGTCCGTTAAGAAACACCTGTTTTCATTTTCCTTATCAGAACTTTTTTCTATACTCTTTCACTGCTTGCTACAAAGCTAATAGCAATGGCTTGGTGGAGGCAGACCATGATACACAGGGTTAAAGGAAGAGGCTTGGAGATGCCGCTGTTCTGACAGGAGAGGTGGGGGGTCAAGGCTACAGTAGCGCCACAAACAGAACACTGACGACAACTCAACTACTGTGTGTGAAACCTCTTTCACGTTTCAGTTTAAAAACAGAAACGTATCCCATCCCTGACTAGACTAGTCTTCATCCATGCAACTGTTTCGCTAAGCTTGTGCTCCAGTTAAATGTTACCGCAAACTAAGAATACCGTACCATCGTATAAGTCTACACATTGAACTTGCATTTGTCATTCATCAATAATGTGCCTGTATGATAAATCAACTAGCGTCATTTCCAGGGGTTGTACATCAAAGCCTAACTACAGAATCTACACTACATGGCCGTTCTGGCTGGAACAGGGCTTACATGACTTTATTTATAGTAGGCAAACGTCTTTAAAATGATCCGTGAGTGACTCCGTACCTATTGTATTCTTGTCCGTCTCCCTGGCAGCTGTCGCTATGGTTACGCATGGCGGGGGCTTGGCAGGCCACACACACGATGTAGCCCTCCCGTAGGTACTGCGTCCAGCGGGTGTGTGGCCGGTTCTCCACCGTACAGTGAGGAGTCAGAGACTCCATCTTGTACTCCATACAGAACCTGACAGAGGAGGGTTTTGAAATATCATATGTACCATTCCACACAGTGTACGTCCCAAATGGCACCCTATACCCTATATAGTGTACTACTTTTGACCAGGGCCCATAGGGTGCCATTTTAGATGCAACAAAAGTTATTGGATTGAATAATGAATTACAGGGGCGCACGAGGGAGCTGGGACTTCCCGTTTCAGATGGGGTGTGTGTGTGTTCAGAGCAACTTGGGCCATTGTAGTCCAGATCCTTTGTACATGTGATGTCATTCATGTTTCATACCTGATGAGTACAAGTGTGCGCGCGTGCGATCTAGATATCCTGGTCAGTAAACACTTCATTTGGGCTGTAGAAAATCTGTTTTTGCTGTGATGATGTCGCGAGTGTGCCGTGGTGGCAAAGGCTCACATTTCGAACCAGAAAGATTGTTGAAACCTTTTGAACTAAAGAGGTACAGTTGAAGTCGGAAGTTTACATACACTTAGCTTGGAGTCATTAAAACTCGTTTTTCAACCACTCCACAAATTCTTTGTTAACAAACTATAGTTTTGGCAAGTCGGTTACTTTGTGCATGACACAAGTCATTTTTCCAACAATTGTTTGCAGACAGATTATTTCACTTATAATTCACTGTATCACAATTCCAGTGGGTCAGAAGTTTACATACACCAAGTTGACTGTGCCTTTAAACAGCTTGGAAAATTCCAGAAAATTATGTCATGGCTTTAGAAGCTTCTAATGGGCTATTTGACATCATTTGAGTCAATTGGAGGTGTACCTGTGGCTGTATTTCAAAGCCTACCTTCAAACTCAGTGCCTCTTTGCTTGACATCCTGGGAAAATCAAAATAAATCAGCCAAGACCTCAGAAACAAAATTGTAGACCTCCACAAGTCTGGTTCATCCTTGGGAGCAATTTCCAAACGCCTAAAGGTACCACGTTCATCTGTACAAACAATAGTACGCAAGTATAAACAGCATGGGACCACGCAGCCGTCATACCGCTCAGGAAGGAAACACGTTCTGTCTCCTAGAAATGAACGTACTTTGGTGTGAAAAGTGCAAATCAATCCCAGAACAACAGCAAAGGACCTTGTGAAGATGCTGGAGGAAACAGGTACAAATGTATCTATATCCACAGTAAAACAAGTCCTATATCGACATAACCTGAAATGCAGCTCAGCAAGGAAGAAGCCACTGCTCCAAAACCGCCATAAAAAAGCCAGACTACGGTTTGCAACTGCACATGGGGACAAAGATCGTACTTTTTGGAGAAATGTCCTCTGGTCTGATGAAACAAAAATAGAACTGTTTGGCCATAATGACCATCGTTATGTTTGGAGGAAAAGGGGGGTCGATTGCAAGCCGAAGAACACCATCCCAACAGTGAAATATGGGGATGGCAGCATCATGCTGTGCGGGTGCTTTGCTGCAGGAGGGACTGGTGCACTTCACAAAATAGATGGCATCATGAGAAAGGAAAATTATGTGGATATATTGAAGCAACATCTCAAGACATCAGTCAGGAAGTTAAATTTTGGTTGCAAATGGGTCCTTCCAAATGGACATAGACCCCAAGCATACTTCCAAAGGTGTGGCAAAATGGCTTAAGGACAACAAAGTCAAGGTATTGGAGTGGCCATCACAAAGCCCTGACCTCAATCCTATAGAAATTGTGTGGGCAGAACTGAAAAAGCGTGTATGAGCAAGGAGGCCTACAAACCTGACTCAGTTACACCAGCTATGTCAGGAGGAATGGGACAAAATTCACCCAATTTATTGTGGGAAGCTTGTGGAAGGCTACCCCAAAACGTTTGACCCAAGTTGAACAATTTAAAGGCAATGCTACCTAATACTAATTGAGTGTATGTAAACTTCTGACCCACTAGGAATGTGATGAAAGAAATAAAAGCTGAAATAAATCATTATCTCTACTATTATTCTGACATTTCACATTCTTAAAATAAAGTGGTGATCCTAACTGACCTAAGAAGGGAAGTTTTTACTAGGATTAAATGTCAGAAATTGTGAAAAACTTAGTTTAAATGTATTTGGCTAAGGTGTATGCAAACTTCCGACTTCAACTGTGTGTACCACAGGTTCCTTTGAACTAAAGACAGTGTGTTCGGAAAGTATTCAGACCCCTTCACTTTTTCCATGTTTTGTTACATTACAGCCTTATTCTAAAATAGATTAAATTGTTGTTTTTTCACTCTGACAGAGCATAGATCCTAATCAATTGATTTTTTTAGAAATCACTCTGACAAAGTACAGAGAGATCCTTGATGATCCAAACATCTCTGGAGCAACCTCCCCATCCAACCTGACAGAGCTTGAGATAATCTGCAGAGAAGAATGGGAGAAACTCCCCAAATACAGGTCTGCCAAGCTTGTAGCGTCATACCCAAGAAGACTCAAGGCTCTAATCACTGCCAAAGGTGCTTCAACAAAGTACTTAGTAAAGGGTCTGAATACTTATGTACATTTGCAAAAATTTCTAAAAATCTGTTTTTGCTTTGTCATTATGGGGTGTTGTGTGTGGATTGATGAGGGGAAAAAACAATTTAATCAATTTTAGAATAAGGCTCTAATTTAACAAAATGTGGAAAAAGTCAAGGGGTCTGAACACTTTCCAAATGCACTGTATATCTTCATCTGACAATTATTCTCTGCTTCACCTCATGCCAAGATAAAAAGTCCCCCACAAAGCATGGCTTTTATCTCCAACAACATCCTGTTGTACTTCATATGGAGCCCTTACAGTTCATTTCTTAAAGGAGAGATTTCCTCCCTGTGATACAAATGGCACCCTTTCTTTTACCACAGGTTCCTTTGAACTAAAAAGTTACAGTGCCTTCAGAAAGTATTCATACCCCTTGACTTATTCCACATTCTGTTGTGTTACAGCTTGAATTCAAAATGGGTTACATTTATTTTTTTTCTTTCACTAATCTACACACAATACCCCATAATGATCAAGTGTAACATGTTTTTAGAAATGTTTGCACATTCATTGAAAATTAAATACAGAAATATCTCATTTACATACGTATTCACACCCCTGAGTCAATACACATTTGGCCATTTATTATTTCTTCAAGCTCTGTCAAATCAGTTGTTGATCGTTGCTAGACAACCATTTTCAGTTCTTACCGTAGATTTAAGTCAAAACTGTAACGCAGCCACTGGGGAACATTCACTGTCTTCTTGGAAAGCAACTCCAGTGTAGATTTATCCTTGTGTTTTAGGTTATTGTCCTGCTTAAAGGTGAATGAATCTCCCAGTGTCTGGTGGAAAGCAGACTGAACCACGTTTTTCCTCTAGGATTTTGCCTCTGCTTAGCTCCATTCCGTTAATTTTTTATCCTGAAAAACTCCCCAGTACTTAACAATTACAAGCATACCCATAACATGATGCAGAGAGTGGTAACATATGGAGAGTGGTACTCAGTAATGTATTGGATTTGTCCCAAACATAACACATTGTATTCAGGACTAAAAGTTAATTGCTTTCCCACATTTTTTGCAGTATTACTTTGTTGCAAACAGGATGCATGTTTTGGAATATTTGTATTCTGTACAAGCTTCCTTCTTTTCACTCTGTCAATTAGGTTAGTATTGTGGAGTAACTACAATGTTGTTGATCGATCCTCAGTTTTCTCCTATCACAGCCGTTAAACTCTAACCTGTTTTAAAGTCAGCAGTGGCTAATGGTGAAATCCCTGAGTAGTTTCCTTCCTCTCCGGCAACTGAGTTAGGAAGGACACCTGTATCTTTGTAGTGACTGGGTGTATTGATACACCATCCAAAGTGTAATTAATAACTTCACCATGCTCTAAGGGATATTTAATGTCTGCTTTTTAATTTTGTTCCCATCTACCAATAGGTGCCCTTCTTTGCGAGGCATTGGAAAACCTCCCTGGTCTTTGTGATTGAATCTGTGTTTGAAATTCACTGCTCGACTGAGGGACCTTACAGGTAATTGTATGTGTGGGGTACAGAAATTAGATAGTTATTCAAAAATCATGTTAAAAAGTATTATTGCACACAGAGTGAGTCGTTGTATCTTTATATGTAACTTGTTAAAGCACATTGTTACTCTTTAACTTGTTTAGGTTTGACATAACAAAGGGGTTGAATACGTATTGACTCGAGACATTTTAAGCTTTTCATTTGAATTCATTTGTAAAAATGTCAAACATAATTCCACTTTGACATTATGGGTTATTGTGTGTAGGCTAGTGACAAAAAAAATCTAAATGTAATCCATTTTAAATTCAGGCTGTAACAACAAAATGTGGAAAAAGTCAAAGGGGTGTGAATACTTTCTGAAGACACTGTGTGTACCACAGGTTCCTTGAATCTGATTCGTCCCCATATCCTATGTGAGTAGACAGGTGTAATAGAGCATTGTACAACTTGCTATAAGCCTTCATAACAGCTCATTGCTCCTTATAAACAGTCATAAAGCATTTATAATGCAGCATACCCAGGGTCCAGAGGTGCTCCAAAGATGTCATGCTTTGTTCTTCCTTTACCAAACTCCATGGTGGTGATGAAAGCTGGACCTGGAGAGAGACCAACACAGTCCCCAGGTTATAACCAGGACCTGGAGAGAGACCAACACAGTCCCCACGTTATAACCAGGACCTGGAGAGAGACCAACACAGTCCCCAGGTTATAACCAGGACCTGGAGAGAGACCAACACAGTCCCCACGTTATAACCGGGACCTGGAGAGAGACCAACACAGTCCCCACGTTATAACCAGGACCTGGAGAGAGACCAACACAGTCCCCAGGTTATAACCAGGACCTGGAGAGAGACCAACACAGTCCCCACGTTATAACCAGGACCTGGAGAGAGACCAACACAGTCCCCAGGTTATAACCAGGACCTGGAGAGAGACCAACACAGTCCCACGTTATAACCAGGACCTGGAGAGAGACCAACACAGTCCCCAGGTTATAACCAGGACCTGGAGAGAGACCAACACAGTCTCCACGTTATAACCAGGACCTGGAGAGAGACCAACACAGTCCCCAGGTTATAACCAGGACCTGGAGAGAGACCAACACAGTCTCCACGTTATAACCAGGACCTGGAGAGAGACCAACACAGTCCCCAGGTTATAACCAGGACCTGGAGAGAGACCAACACAGTCCCCACGTTATAACCAGGACCTGGAGAGAGACCAACACAGTCCCCAGGTTATAACCAGGACCTGGAGAGAGACCAACACAGTCCCCAGGTTATAACCAGGACCTGGAGAGAGACCAACACAGTCCCCAGGTTATAACCAGGACCTGGAGAGAGACCAACACAGTCCCCACGTTATAACCAGGACCTGTAGAGAGACCAACACAGTCCCCAGGTTATAACCAGGACCTGGAGAGAGACCAACACAGTCCCCAGGTTATAACCAGGACCTGGAGAGAGACCAACACAGTCCCCACGTTATAACCATGCAACTATGTGACTCAGTTGGTAGAGCATGTGTGTTTTAGTGCGTGTGTACCTGTGTTCTGAGCACAGAACTCTCCCTGGTTTGAGCGGTGCTCCATGCAGCCTGCCTGCTCCCCCAGACTGGGACATGGCTCTCCACTGTTCCTGGGCTCCTGCTCAATGTGGCGCTGCCTACAGTCGATTGATGATTCATAGATTTTTGGGGGGGTAAAAAAAAATGTCATAAAATTTGCAGACTTTAAAGCATTTTAAAAGTACAAATAAATCGATCCCAGAAGATACCACATGAGTGTTTTAATACGCTTATTATTTCCATTGTGGTCCTCGGAATAGGACAAAACGGCGGTTTGCACAGGAAGCCCAATTCTGATATTTTGCCACTAATTGATCTTTTTTGACCAATCAGATCTTTTCCCCAATAATTGGGCAAAATATCAGTATTTGAGCTTCCTGTGTAAACGCAGCCAACCTGACTAATAAATAGCACACGGGACTCACCGGACCCTCGCGGACCGCTGGCAGGGCTGGCCACAACTGCTCCAGTAACTCCACTCAGACACCACACACGACTGGCCTGGAGGAGAGACAACAAGGTCATAATTTGCATTGAGTGTCTTCATAAACACCTATAAAACACAGAAGTGTGACACAACGGCTACATCAACAACGCTTCATTAATAGTACATTCATAGCATTGCTGCATAACACTGTCCTTGGACACATCTACATCTTTTGATAGACCATTCAGGGAATCGTTACCTGACATTCATACACTTGCCATGTTCTTCACTCCAGGTTTGGTGGATGTACATGTTTTTGTTCCAGCCCAGCATAAAACACACCTACCAACTCATCAAGGCTTTGATTAGCTGAATCAGATGTGTCAGTGGAGGGGTTTGGAACAAAAGTCCCAGGCACTAGGAGCGAAAACCCCTTGAGGTGGCAACTTAGGTGTTGTTGGTTTGACGACCGAAGTTCTGTAACTTTTTAAACCATGTGAGCCAAGGGTGTGTACAGTTCACTCAGCCGACTGCTCAATATTCTAGAAGTGACAGTCAATCAATGAGATTGAGTTGGCACCCTATTCCCTCTAAAGTGTACTACTTTTGACCAGATCCCAACGGGAATAGGGGTGCCATTTGGGACGCAGGCTTGGATTTGAAGGATTAGTGTTTCTGTACAGCGTTGAGGTGATCTGAATGTAACTGTAAAGTTGAATGAACTGGATCCAGTCACTGACCCATTTAATCCTGTCATTCTCTTTTTAACGCTCTCTGAGTACTGGGTCTTTGATGTGTCAGGTATTAGGTTCGCTCGGCTTGGCTGACTCCTACAGTAATGGCCACAGAGATCCTATTCAATTCTATATGTAGTGCACTACATCGGGAAAAAAAAAGGTGCTATTCGGGACGGAGATAAATGACTAATCGAAGTGCATTCCTGACATATTTGTCCATAATTCCATCCTGTTTGCAAATTCATAATAAGCAAATCAGTTACGATTGAAACCAGTCAACATAGTTGATATCAGATCAGTCAGTGTACTAACCATAGAAATCATATTAAATTACTAGAGGGGGGATATGATGTCATAAACCCTCAAAGTTCCAGAATGGGCTGAAAATGGCAGCCATCTTGGTCAGGGAGAAATCCAAACCAGTCTAATTGGAATGGATGGCAGTAGAGGCAGAATCCTGATTTTACTACGCAGGACAATAAAAAGGAAGACATGATGTATCAGAAATTATGTAATATAATTATTGTCAACCTAAAATATTGTCATATAATTATAAATATAGTTTATATGGGTTTTATATCAATTTGCTGTATTAATAGCCTCTAAAATATATGTAAGAAGACCATAAATGTCTCAATTTCTTGTTTTCTTGGAAAGCTGTAAGTGCTATTGTAACCCCTAATTATCTGACTAATTATCCATCACCTTCTCTGAAGGGCCCGTGGGATCGACGATAAAGGGACGGGTTACAATCAAGTTATTTTCTATAGTTGAATCCTTCCAAGTAGCAGCAGCACAAACTTTAGTGACACAACACGTTAGGCTACACCTCCATCACTTCCCTTCTCTGTCACTCACACGTCTCCCATGAATCCTCCTCACGTGCAGGGGAGTCTGGGAAGGGTATTTTCAGAATAACAGTCCCAACATAAAATCTCAATGACAATGCCACAATAAAAATCTCAGATACACATTACATATTTGTCATTATAAAATATATAAACTGAACGAAAATATAAACGCAACATGTAACAATTTAGAAGATTTTACTGAGTTACAGTTTATATAAGGAAATCAGTTAATTGAAAAAAATTAATTAGGCCCTAATCTATGGATTTCACATGACTGGGAATAAATACCTTTAAAAAAAAAGGTAGGGGCGTGGATCAGAAAACCAGTCAGTATCTGGTGTGACCATTTGCCTCATGCAGCACAACACGTCTCCTTCCCATAGAGTTGATCAGGCTGTTGATTGTGGCCTGTGGAATGATGTCCCACTCCTCTTCAATGGCTGTCCGAAGTTGCTGGATATTTTGGCGAGAACTGGAACACGCTGTCGTAGACTTTGATCCAGAGCATCCCAAACATGCTCAATGGGGGACATGTCTGGTGACTATGCAGGCCATTTTCAGTTTCCAGGAATTGTGTACAGATCCTTGTGACATGGGGCTGTGCATTATCATGCTGAAACATGAGGTGATGGCGGCGGATGAATGGCACGACAATGGGCCTCAGGATCTCGTCACGGTGTCTCTGTGCATTCAAATTGCCATCGACAAAATGCAATTGTGTTCATTGTCCGTAGCTTATGCCTGCCCATACCATAACCCCACCGCCACCATGGGGCACTCTGTTCACAACGTTGACATCAGCAAATCACTCGCCCACACGACGCCATACGTCTGCCATCTGCCCGGTACAGTTGAAACCGGGATTCATCTGTGAAGAGCACACTTCTCCAGCGTGCCAGTGGCCATTGAAGGTGAGCATTTGCCCACTGAAGTCAGTTACGAAGCCAAACTGCAGTCAGGTCAAGACCCTGGTGAGGACGACGATCACGCAGATGAGCTTCCCTGAGATGGTTTCTGACAGTTTGTGCATAAATTCTTCAGTTGTGTAAAACCCACAGTTTCATCAGCTGTCCGGGTGGCTCGTCTCAGACCATCCCGCAGGTGAAGATCGCCGGATGTGGAGGTCCTGGGCTGGCGTGGTTACACGTGGTCTGCAGTTGTGAGGCCGGTTGGACATACTGCCAAATCCTCTAAAACAACGTTGGAGGCGGCTTATGGTAGAGAAATTAACATAAAATGATCTGGCAACAGCTCTGGTGGACATTACTGCAGTCAGCATGCCAATTGCACGCTCCCTCAAAACTTGAGACATCTGTGGCATTGTGTTGTGTGACAAAACATTTTAGAGTGGCCTTTTATTGTCCTGTGTAATGATCATGCTGTTTAATCAGCTTCTTGATATGCTACACCTGTCAGGTGGATGGATTATCTTGGAAAAAGATAAATGCTCACTAACAGGGATTTAAACAAATTTGTGCACAACATTTGAGAGAAATAAGCTTTTTGTGCATAATATAACATTTCTGGGATCTTTTATTTCAGCTCAGGACACAACACGTTGTGTTTATATTTTTGCTCAGTAATATTTCTTATTCCAAAACCATGGCTACACTATAATATGATACAATATCAGTACTGCTTTTACAACTTGTCTAAGTCCCATCATCAACTGATTTCAAAGTTTGAATGGAATGTTGGCATATTGGCAGTTAATTAAAACAATTATGGATTCCCAATCTACTATTTTTCTCTCTCTCTCTCCCTCTCTTTCCCAACTGCCTTTCCCAGCGATGATGGTAGTGTTGGTATGGGGGTAATCTGGGGGTAGGGTTAGGGTAGTTTAGGGGTGGTTTTCAAAACACTTCACTTTTTCCACATTTTGTTACGTTACAGCCTTATTCTAAAATTGATTAAATAGTTTTTTTCCTTCATCAATCTACACACAATACCCCATAATGACAAAGCAAAAACTGTTTTTTAGAAATTGTTGCTAATTTCTTAAAAATAAAAAACAGAAATCACATTTACATAAGTATTCAGACCCTTTACTCAGTACTTTGTTGAAGCACCTTTGGCAGCAATTACAGCCTTGTGTCTTCTTGGGTATGACGCTACAAGCTTGGCACACCTGTATTTGGGGAGTTTCTCCCATTCTTCTCTACAGATCCTCTCAAGCTCTGTCAAGTTGGATGGGGAGTGTCGCTGCACAGCTATTTTCAGGTCTCTCCAGAGGTGTTAGATCGGGTTCAAGTCCGGGCTCTGGCTGGGCCATTCAAAGACATTCAGAGACTTGTCCCGAAGCCACTCCTGCGTTGTCTTGGCTGTGTGCTTAGGGTCGTTGTCCTGTTGGAAGGCAAACCTTCGCTCCAGTCTGAGGTCCTGAGGGATCTGGATCAGGTTTTCATCAAGGATCTCTCTGTACTTTGCTTCGTTCATCTTTCCCTCGATCCTGACTAGTCTCCCAGTCCCTGCCGCTAAAAAACATCCCCACAGCATGATGTTGCCTCCACCATGCTTCACCGTAGGGATGGTGCAAGGTTTCCTCCAGACGTGACGCTTGGCATTCAGGCCAAAGAGGTCAATCTTGGTTTCATCAGACCAAAGAATCTTGTTTCTCATGGTCTGAGAGTCTTTAGGTGCCTTTTGGCAAACTCCAAGCGGGCTGTCATGTGCCTTTTACTGAGGAGTGGCTTCCGTCTGGCCACTCTACCATAAAGGCCTGATTTGTGGAGTGCTGCAGAGATGGTTGTCCTTCTAGAATGTTCTCCCATCTCCACAGAGGAACTCTGGAGCTCTGTCAGAGTGACCATCGGGTTCTTGGTCACCTCCTTGACCAAGGCCCTTCTCCCCCGATGGCTCAGTTTGGCCGGGCGGCCAGCTCTAGAAAGAGTCTTGGTGGTTCCAAACTTCTTCCATTTAAGAATGATGGAGGCCACTGTTTTCTTGGGGACCTTCAATGCTGCAGAAATGTTTAGGTACCCTTCCCCAGATCTGTGCCTCGACACAATCCTGTCTCTGAGCTCTACGGACAATGGCTTGGTTTTTGCTCTGACATGCACTGTCAACTGCGGGACCTTATATAGACAGGTGTGTGCCTTTCCAAATCATGTCCAATCAATTGAATTTACCACAGGTGGACTCCAATCAAGTTGTAGAAACATCTCAAGGATGATCAAAGGAAACAGGATGCACCTGAGCTCAATTTCGAGTCTCATAGCAAAGGGTTTGAATACTTATGTAAATAAGGTATTTCTGTTTTTTATTTGTAATACATTTTGCAAAAATTTCTACAAACCTTGTTTTTGCTTTGTCATTATGGGGTATTGTCTGTAGATTGCTGAGGAAGTTATTTTATTTTATCCATTTTAGAATAAGGCTGTAACGTAACAAAATGTGGAAAACGTAAAAGGGTCTGAATAGATTCTGAATGCGCTGTATATACTGTAGAATGCATCCAAAATGGCGATATTTTCCATATACTGTATAGTTCACTAATTCAAATGTTATCCTATTCCCTACATAGTGCACTATGTCTGGCGTCCCAACTGGCACCCTATTCCCTATATAGTGCACTACTTTTAACCATGGGCCCTGGTCTAAAGTAGTGCACTATTTAAGGAATAGGGTAGCATTTGGGGCAATTCATGACAACCGTGACAACCGTTACTGTAGTGACTCCGCCCATCCTCCCTTACCTGGGCACGCGGTGGGGTAGTCATAGCAACAGTCCTTGGTCCTCAGGCAGCCCTCGTCGCAGTAGCAGGTTCCGTAAACACGGTCCATCCTCCAGTCTGCCGTTACGCAGGTGATGTCTGAACCCCGGCAGCACTTCCCAGCGCACCCCCCTTCCACCACCACGTGGTACGATACCAGCACGACAGCCACCAGCAACAACACATAATCCACGGATGACGCCATCGTCAGGGACAAAAAATACAAGGGGGGGGGACCAAGTTAGCGGGGGGCCTCCAAGGATTCCCCAAGAGGCTGAAATAGTCTCCCCAAATAACAATGTGTGTGTATGTCGTCTCCTCAGTGTGTGTCGGCGTCCTTTCCACAGTCTGTGTGTGTGTGTGTGTGTGTGTGTGTGTGTGTGTCGTCTCTGTGTGTGTTTGTGTGTGTGGATCTTCTACTCAGTGTGTTTTCAGATCACAGGTTTAGAAGGACAGGGACAAACTTCGATCGAACAGGACACCAGTACACACAGTCCCAGACCCAGCCTAGTCCAGCCCAGTCCAGCCCAGTCCAGCCCAGTCCAGCCTCTGCCCCGCCGCTGGAGCCCTTGTGACCTGGAATTCCTGCGTCCACACAGCCCTTCTGTTTACCAGCAGATTGAGCTGAAGAAAAGCTCCATTCCACGAACACACAGCTCTGCTCCTCTGTTCACACACAGATCAGTCACTCCGGCAGTGTGTCTGTCTGTCTGGTGTCTGTTTCTGCCCCGACTGCTTGTAGACTCACCACACACCTCTCCCTCCTGAGATTCTCTCTCTCACCCACTGAGTTCCTCCCTCTCCTCTCCTCCATGCAAAGAACGGGAAAGAAACGACGAGATGATACGAGAAGAGAGAGGAAAGAGAGAGAAGCTAGGCGAGGAGGAGAGAGAGCGCAGAGGCAGAGAGAAGGAGAGGGAGCGAGAGAGTACAGGAGATATCTTATCTCTCGATCGCTCTCTCTCTCTCTCTCTCTCTCTCTCTCTCTCTCTCTCTCTCTCTCTCTCTCTCTCTCTAGCCCTCCCAGTGTCTCAGCCAGTGTAATGCCAGTCTTGCCCAGCCGGTTTCAGCTCCATACCTAGGAGCCTGAGGGGCAGAAGCAGGAATATGAATGATTGGCTGGAGTCCAGGCCTCAAATGCTGAGGGGGCTATAGTACAGGGTCTGTGTCCCAAATGGCACCCTGTGTGGTTTACCTGTTAGTGTTAAGCTATCTATACAAACACAGTTTGGCATCCGCATCACTAGCCATCACTAGCCGGCTACGACCCGGTTACTCAACCCTGCACCTTAGAGGCTGCTGCCCTATGTACATAGACATGGAATCACTGGCCACTTAAATAATGGAACACTAGTCACTTTAATAATGTTTACATACTGCTTTACTTATCTCATCTCATATGTATATACTGTATTCTATTCTACTGTATTCTAGTCAATGCCACTCCGACATTGCTCGTCCTAATATTTCTATATTTCTTGATTCCATTCTTTTACTTTTAGATTTGTGTGTATTGTTGTGAACTGTTAGATACTACTGCACTGTTGGAGCTAGAAACACAAGCATTTCTCTACCCCCGCAATAACATCTGCAAAATATTTGTATATGACCCATACAATTTGATTTGATATCCACACTTGATGTGTAGTCTTGACGTGTAGTCTTGACGTGTAGCCTTGACGTGTAGCCTTGACGTGTAGCCTTGACGTGTAGCCTTGACGTGTAGCCTTGACGTGTAGCCTTGACGTGTAGCCTTGACGTGTAGCCTTGACGTGTAGTCTTGACGTGTAGCCTTGACGTGTAGTCTTGACGTGTAGCCTTGACGTGTAGCCTTGACGTGTAGTCTTGACGTGTAGCCTTGACATGTAGTCTTGACGTGTAGTCTTGACGTGTAGCCTTGACATGTAGTCTTGACGTGTAGCCTTGACGTGTAGCCTTGACGTGTAGCCTTGACGTGTAGCCTTGACGTGTAGTCTGGGTGAAGAAGTGCAAGACAACAGGTTCTGTGCTGTTGTCAGAGAGAGGCACGTCAGATCAGCGGTAATAACTTAATCTGCCAACGTGGTTTGACTTGAGGATGATTGATTTGTTTGTCTGCGTACCAAATGGCACACTGTTCCCTACATGTGCTGCTTTTCGACTGTTCCACCCTTATGTTATACTGGGGACATGGTGTTTCCATATCTAGGGCTCATGATATACTAGGGACATGTTGTTTCCATATCTAGGGCTCATGATATACTAGGGACATGGTGTTTCCATATCTAGGGCTGATGATATACTAGGGACATGGTGTTTCCATATCTAGGGCTCATGATATACTAGGGACATGTTGTTTCCATATCTAGGGCTCATGATATACTAGGGACATGGTGTTTCCATATCTAGGGCTGATGATATACTAGGGACATGGTGTTTCCATATCTAGGGCTGATATGGACATGGTGTTTCCATATCTAGGGCTGATGTTATACTAGGGACATGGTGTTTCCACCTCTAGGGCTGATATGGACATGGTGTTTCCATATCTAGGGCTGACAGTGAGGACTTGTGAAGAACAGAATCAACATCCTGTGGTCCTCTGTAGCTCAGCTGGTAGAGCACGGCGCTTGTAACGCCAAGGTAGTGGGTTCGATCCCCGGGACCACCCATACACAAAAAAAAAATGTATGCACGCATGACTGTAAGTCGCTTTGGATAAAAGCGTCTGCTAAATGGCATATTTATTTATTTATCCTCTGCATAATCAAAACAGTTTGCTTTGTGAGAAAGTGTTAAAGTTCACAGTTAGCCATTGTTATGTAAATGACAGCTGAAATGTACCAGTGGCCTGACTTTGGCCCCAAGTGAGAGCAGGGCCGGCGGAGAGCCATGGCCCAGTGAGACACAACTGCCGGCCCCCGTTAGATGGTCTGAGCCTTTTGAGAAAAAACATAGGGGTGAATCCTGTATGGAAGCGCGCCATTTGTGCACTACTTTTGATCAGAGCCCTACTGTCCCTGGTCAAAAGTAGTGCACTATATAGGGAATAGGGTGCCATAGGGCTCTGGTCTAAAGTAGTGCACTATATAGGGAATAGGGTGCCATAGGGCTCTGGTCAACAGTAGTGCACTACATCGGGAATAGGGTGCCATAGGGCTCTGGTCAACAGTAGTGCACTACATCGGGAATAGGGTGCCATAGGGCTCTGGTCTAAAGTAGTGTACTATATAGGGAATAGGGTGCCATAGGGCTCTGGTCTAAAGTAGTGTACTATATAGGGAATAGGGTGCCATAGGGCTCTGGTCTAAAGTAGTGCACTACATCGGGAATAGGGTGCCATAGGGCTCTGGTCTAAAGTAGTGCACTACATCGGGAATAGGGTGCCATAGGGCTCTGGTCTAAAGTAGTGCACTACATCGGGAATAGGGTGCCATATGGCTCTGGTCTAAAGTAGTGCACTACATCGGGAACAGGGTGCCATAGGGCTCTGGTCTAAAGTAGTGCACTACATCGGGAATAGGGTGCCATAGGGCTCTGGTCTAAAGTAGTGCACTACATCGGGAATAGGGTGCCATAGGGCTCTGGTCTAAAGTAGTGCACTACATAGGGAATAGGGTGCCATAGGGCTCTGGTCTAAAGTAGTGCACTACATCGGGAATAGGGTGCCATAGGGCTCTGGTCTAAAGTAGTGCACTATATAGGGAATAGGGTGCCATAGGGCTCTGGTCTAAAGTAGTGCACTATATAGGGAATAGGGTGCCATAGGGCTCTGGTCTAAAGTAGTGCACTATATAGGGAATAGGGTGCCATTTGGGACACAGCCTTTGAGTCTCCATTAGTTTTCATTTCAAGAAAAGAGAGAGCAGAAATGCTTCCTTTATGCCAGACACACAGAGTAAGTTTAATAAAATATAACTTTGTATCAGTTAGTTTACAAGCAAAAATTGTTGTAATCAGATTAGATACTTTTGAAAAACTAGATGATTACTTCTTGGATTGCTTTTACATTCAGAAAGGATGCATTCTTTTTGTCTACTTTTAGTGATTCGTAAGGGGAAAAGTAATCCAAAAGTAACTGAAAGTAATCAGATTACGTTACTGAGTTTGGGGTAATCCAAAAATTACGTTAGTGATTACAATTTTGGACAGGTAACTAGTAACTGTAACAGATTATATTTAGAAAGTAATCTACCCAACCATGCACACAGACATATGCCTGCTCACACACACATAGTCTGCCCCTCTCTCTCCCCCTCTCCCTCTCTCTCTCTCTCTCTTCCCCCTCTCCTCCCCCTTAGCCTCCCTTTCTCCGGAAAGCTGCTCCGACCCAGCGGAGGGAGGGGGTCTGCACGGGTCCTGTGATTCTCCCTTGCGTCACAGAGCAGGCAGGTCCAGAGACAGTAACACCCTTCATCATCAGGTGTGTAGAAGTCCATCTGAACTCAGTCTGACCTTACGACCACTTATAGACATTGTTTTTATGGAAACTGTTTTGTTTTGTATGTATGTTTTGAAATGATGTTCAGAAAATCAGAGTAAAACTTTACGTTTTTTGTGTAACTATTTCTGCAAGTACTGTGTAACAAGTATTGGTATTACACTTTCCTTAACGTAGTAACCCCTAGCCTTACCTTAGCCCTAACCCTAACCTAACCATAACCCTAACCATAACGCTAACCATAACCTAACCATAACCATAACCATAACCAAACCATAACCTAACCATAACCCAACCATAACCCTAACCATAACCATAACCTAACCATAACCCTAACCCTAACCATAACCATAACCCTAACCCTAACCCTAACCATAACCATAGCCCTAACCAAAGTTACCTAATCTGAGTGTCCATTTCTCTTTGTCACAGTGAAGGGTTAAACTGAGTTCTACCTACCTAGCAGAGTTAAACAGTTACATGTTAAACTGAGTTCTACCTTCCTAGCAGAGTTAAACAGTGAAGGGTTAAACTGAGTTCTACCTACCTAGCAGAGTTAAACAGTGAAGGGTTAAACTGAGTTCTACCTACCTAGCAGAGTTAAACAGTTACATGTTAAACTGAGTTCTACCTACCTAGCAGAGTTAAACAGTTACATGTTAAACTGAGTTCTACCTACCTAGCAGAGTTAAACAGTTACATGTTAAACTGAGTTCTACCTACCTAGCAGAGTTAAACAGTGAAGGGTTAAACTGAGTTCTACCTACCTAGCAGAGTTAAACAGT